CGACCCCTTCTCCCTTCTCTGCTCTCCCCCTCTCGCGCCCGAGCGCGCTCGTCGCCGCCGTCCACGGCCACCACGGCCACCGGGCCTCCCTCGCTTCCCCGGCTAGCCCACAAGCTCCGTCACTCCGTCCTCGACCCACCTCACCGAGCCACGCCCCTCCAGAAGCCCCCGAACGAGCTCACCGGGCTCGTCTTCTACCTCGGACCCGCCGGCCATCACCGTCAAATTCGTCGGCTCCGGACCGTCTCCGACCTCGCCGAGCGTTCCGTCGTCATCGCCGTGAGCTCCTGCTCCTGCTCCCCCTCTCCGCTCCCTCTCTCGCTCGCTGTAGCTGCCGTTTCATAGCTGGCCGTAGCACGCCGCCGCCTGAGCTCGTCGCCGGCGTAGCTCCGGTGACCATTAGGTCACCCCGGCGCGCCTAACTTGCTCCCCGCATCGTGTAGCGCTCCGCTAGCCCATCGCCTCGCTCGTTAGCACACCGCAACGCCAACCCGCACCAGCCCCGAACTCCGGCAGCCGCCGCGGGTTCCACTCCGGTGAACTCCGGCCACCCTCGCACCTCCCGTTGGTTCCCTTAGATGCGCGCGGGCACGGGCTATCCTCTGGTGCCCCTGGCGCGTCGATCCGTCGACTCTGGCGAGTTCCGAGCGAACTCCGCCGCGGTTCGAGGTCACCGCCGGCGAGACTCCGGCGAGATGACGTGAACCGTCATTAGCAGCTAACAGCCCCACTAACCAACCCCCTAGGCCACTGACTAATGGGCCCCACGCCCTAATTAACACAATTTACATCTTCTGTTTAATTTAACTAACCCCGGTGGGCCCACGCGTCAGTGTTGACTACGCTGACGTGGCCGTTGACTTGGTCCCACCTGTCAGTGAGCTAAGCAGCCCTGTGACACTGACGTGTGGCCCCACACATCAGGTGTGACCTGGCCCCGCCCTGTTGACCTGATGACGTCAGGGTGATGTCATGCTGACGCAGTAAATGTTTTCTGGAGTTTTAAATAAATCAGAAATGATTTATTTATTTCAGAAAATATTCTAAACTTCTAAAATTCATAGAAATTCAACCGTAACTCCAAATTAAATAATTTATATATGAAAAATTATCAGAAAAATTCAAGGAATCCATCTATACTATTTTCATGCATGTTTGAACAATGTTTGTCCTCTGTTTTGGACAAAACAAATAAAGGGCATTTAAATAACCATATATGGAGTTGGAATTTGAATCATGTATTCAAACCAACTTCATTTAAATCATAGCTAAGTGCATTAGCCCAAAACACATTCATATTGCCATGTCATAGCATGCATCATATTGTCGCATTGCATTGATTGTGTTTTTTCTTGTTTGCCGGTAATTGTCCCCTCTCGATAGACGTGTACCGGCGATGTGATCGATGACACCGACGAAGAGCTATATTATCTTCAGAAGTGCCAGGCAAGCAAAACCCCCTTGTTCATTCCGATAAAATCCCACTCTCTCGCTCCTGCTCTCTATTACTGCATTAGGACAACAACGATTTAACTGTTACTTGCTGCGGTAGCTGAACCCCTTTATCCTTTGCATGACCTGTCATTCCACAGTAAATAGATGAAACCCACTAGCATGAGTAGGAGTTGTTTGAGCCCTGTTGTGCCTACTCATTCATGTTTGTTTGTCATGCCTGCTATTGCTTAGAGTTGAGTCAGGTCTGATTCATCGGGGATGAATCAGAGGCGTGTGAACATGTCCTACTGTGTGTGAGATAAGTGTGTGAACACGATTTGGTAAAGGTAGCGGTGAGAGGCCATGTAGGAGTACATGGTGGGTTGTCTCATTGCAGCCGTCCTCAGGAAATGAGTTCTGTGTTTGTGATCCATGATCAGTTACTACCACACATTGAGCTCCGGGCGCTCCAAGCTCTCTCGACTTATTAATCAACTTGATCTCTGTCCAGGAGTTGCAACTAGTTTCTGGTGTTTGTAGGTAGTGTTAGTAGTCTACCAAGTGGCACCCGGTACAGGTGGGCTTGGGACAGACTAGGCACGGTGGCACGGTGTACCAAGCGTAGATCCACCCGTCGAGGTGGGCTTGGGAACCCTGCACACATCGTTTGGGGCCGTGAGCGACACCCCGGCCGAATCTCCTTGCGGATGGAACCCGAATAGGCGATAAACCTGGACTAGAGACTTGTTTGGTTAGTCAGGTCGTGGCCGACTCCCTCGCCCGGCTTCCGCTTGAAGGTTGCCGAGGTACATGACGTGTACAGGGCGATAAGTGGCGAAAGCGTGTGTGAAGAAGTACACCCCTGCAGGGTTATCATTATCTATTCGAATAGCCGGATTCCTCGAATATGGAAACTTGGACCCCTTGTACAGTTCATAGACAAGTGAAAGTGGATACTCTAAAATACGCAAGATAAGCGTGAGTGCTATGGATGGCGTTCTCGTAGGGAGACGGGAGCGGATCCATAGTGGTGTATTGATATGGTGAATATGTGGACTCGTGTGCGCCACCTCAAAAGAGTTACTTGCAGTCGTAGTTTAGGTTAGCCACCGAGTCAAAGCTGGCTTGCTGCAGTTAAACTCCACCACCCCCTTTGTTGATAATGATGCATATGTAGATAGATCTGATGTAAGTCTTGCTGGGTACATTTGTACTCACGTTGCTTAATTTATGTTTTTGCAGAGAGACTTCAGTCTCAGTAGTAGTTTCATGTGGACTTCGACGTTTAGCTTGTTACCTCAGCTACGATCTTGTGCCCTCGGCAGGATCTGGTAGATAGTCAGGCTTCTCAGCCTTTTTCATTTATAGTTGTCTGTACTCAGACATGTTAAGCTTCCGCATGTGCTTTGACTTGTATACTCTGATTGTTGGGTCATGAGACCCATGTTTGTAATATCTCGCTCCTCGGAGCCTATTGAATAAATACTTGAGTTGTAGAGTCATGTTGTGATGCCATGTTGTATTTGCACATATCGAGCATATTGTGTGTATGTTATTGAAATGCTTGGTATGTGTGGGATCTGACTATCTAGTTATTTATCCTTAGTAGCCTCTCTTACCGGGAAATGTCTTCTAGTGTTTCCACTGAGCCATGGTAGCTTGCTACTGCTCCGGAACACTTAGGCTGGCCGGCATGTGGCATTCTTCGTTCCTGTGTCTGTCCCTTCGGGGAATGTCACGCGATGAATACCGGAGTCCTGTTAGCCCGCTACAGCCCGGTTCACCGGAGTCCTGCTAGCCCAGTGCTACAGCCTGGATTCACTCGCTGATGACCGACACGTTCGATGCTGGGTCATGGATGCCTGTCCCTGTAAATTTGTGCCACTTTGGGTTTACGACTAGCCATGTCAGCCCGGGCTTCTTATCATATGGATGCTAGCGACACTATCATATACGTGTGCCAAAAAGGCGCAAACGGCCTCGGGCAAAGGTAAAGCGACACCCGTGGGAATACCGTGCGTGAAGCCGCAAAGTGATATGAGGTGTTACATGCTAGATCGATGTGGCATTGAGTCGGGGTCCTGACAGAACTGATCAAAACCAGCTAGGCCCATTGGCTGCCCTGCTTTAGTAGGCACTGTAAAAAGAGAATGCTCTTCCTTTCCGTTCTAGTTCTGCTCTGCTCTATTGGTTGCAGTGATCTAAAAGAGATAGTTGCAGTAAAAATGAAAATGAAATTGCAGTAACCCATAGAAATCCACCACAGGAAGAAGATCCATCAGAATTCAGAAGCTATCCTCATCCTAGATTTTGACGGCATGCCAACAACATGGCAAATCCACGTGATGTTTCACTCAAGAATTCGTGATAGGCTTGTTATTATTACTGAAGAGGGAGGGGCCATAGGCAAGCTGGCGGTGCGCGAGACAAGCCGACAGAAGGGTTTGATGCGCCGATGGCATTTTTACTCGCTTCGGTTGTACGCTTCCATCGTAAAAGCAGCGGTACCATACAATAAATTGTGCCCCGCATTTCCCTATTTTCAGTGGTCTCTTAACTTCACCGGAATATATCTGTCCGTAGCCTATATCTGAAACTTTAAGTACTCCTACTATGTGAATCACCCCAAAATTACACTTGATGAAGAGACGCCATAGCTCGTAAAATCATGTCAGTGTGGCCGTAAGTTCATTCGACATCTTTTTGTGGTATAATCTACTAAACGCAAATTTCTTTTCTGGGTTAACACAACATTGTGGCTTTCCTGCGAGGATACACGGAGTGAGGACATCTTCAAGGCGGACCCGTAAACCTCCCTCAACCGTCTGAACCATGTTGTTCGAACCATAGAAGCCATCCAACAGTGATATGTATCGGTCCAAATGCCAGATGCGATTTCTCCCGCAAAACGAAGATAAAAGTGGGGGAAGTTTGCGGGAGTCAGGATACATGAAACGTACGAATCAGACACCCCAGGCCCACCCAAAACCCCTTCCCGGACCCAGCGACTTCATCCTCCTCATTTTCTGTCCTTCCTTCTCTCTCTCTCTCTCTCTCTCTCTCTCTCTCTCTTGTCATCGCCGCCGATCAACCATACCGGCCACCACGCCATACCCCTGCCGGAAATCTGCGTCTCCGTCACCTCCGGAGATCCAGCATGGCTCCCACCTGCTTCTCCTCCGTCTTCGTTCAACCCCCTGTCCTCCGACCGTCCCGCCATGTACCATCCTCTACCATGCCCTGCAACTGTTTGATGAATCACTAGAGCTGAAAACAGTTGTCCCTTCTTGTTTGTAACAATGGATTCCGATTTGAAGTACATATACGAGTAGTATGTTGAGTCCTCCAACAGCTCATCGGACGAGGAGTACTTCGATAAGACGACGATGATGCAGGCGGTCCTTGAAGACGCGGAGCATGCGGAGGAGCATGTTCTCAATTTCAAGGGCTTGATCAAGGGTCATCGAGTGCTCAACCGTAACAAGGTGCGCGGGCATTTGACACTGATGGCCGACTACTTTGCTCTCGATACACTATTCACTCATCATTTTCGCCACCATTTTTAGATGCGCAAGACTGTCTTGGATTGTTTGTACATGGGTTCCTACGATGACTACTTCATCCTGAAGGACGCCGTGGGAACGATTGGCTTCTTTGGTCATCAGAAGTGCACAACCACATTCTGGATGCTTGCATATGACTGGCCGCTGATTCGTGAGACGAGTACCTACAGACGTCTGAGAGCACACGCGGAGATGCCATGGTCAGGTTTGCAACTGTCGTGGTTGAGGTATTCTGACCTCAGTACCTGAGAGAACCAACTGTGGAAGACACCGAGAGGCTCCTGGCAATCTCAGAAGCAAGAGGGTGGCCAGGTTTGCTTGCATCGCTTTACTGCATGCATTGGAAATGGAAAAATTGCCTGAAGGCTTTACAAGGGCAACATCAGGGTCATATTAAGAAGCTCACCATCATTCTTAAAGCAGTTGCATCACATGATCTTTGGATTTGAAACGCTTTCTTTGGCATGCCCGGGTCTCACAATGACATCACTGTGCTCCTCCTTGCCACTACATTGTCAATGGACATGAGTATAACATGGGCTACTATCTGGTTTATAGTGTCTATCCTCCACGGATTACCTTTTTCAGCACCATCTCAAACCCAATTGGCCAGAAAAGGCTCACTTTGCCGAAAGATAAGAAGCAGTTAGAAATGATGTCGAGAGGGCATTTGGAGTTCTTCAAGCATGTTTTGCAGTTGTTCATGGATCTGCAAAAACAACGGGATCCGAAGACCTTGTGAGAGGTGATTACATGTTGTGTGATCATGCACAACATGATTGTCGAGCATGAGGGTGATGATGCTGCCGTAGCTCTTGTCGAGCATGAGGGTGATGATGATGCCGCAGCTCTGGAATTTGAGAACATGGGTGATCCTATCCAACTTCTGGACCAGAATCCGACCACATTTGAGGAGTTTATTCAAATGCATCGACGAACTCACGAGCAGCTCAAGAAAGGAGACAACAATGTTGGGATGTAAATATTTGAACTTTTTTAAATTTAAACTAGTGCTGCATGCGGCTACTTGATCTTCAGTGCCCTCTGCATGCAGCTACTTGATCGCGCCGACTCAGGAAAAAAATCCGGAAAGCCGGATGTATACGGCTACGATTTGGATGTCGACCTCCCGCATCCGTGTCTGCGGATGGATGCAGGAGAGTTTTTGCGGGTTGCCGTTGGAGATGCCCTAAGAGCAACTCTAGCGAATCAGCTAAAACAGCCCGTCCGCTATAATCCGCTATGATAACCGTCAATATAGAGAATCTGGACTATTTTTGGGCGCGGAATAGATCTGTTATATTTGGTCATTCGCACATTTTTTGGACGGGATTCTATAGATTCCAGCCCGCGTCCGCCATATCTACGGTTTCCCCTCCTCTTTTTGTTGGTTTCTCTATCCTACCCGCTCATTGGCATGAAGGAAACTTTCGCCCCTTCCATTCCCACTTCCACTCGCCGCCACCGATCTCGCCGGCCCTTCGCCGTCTCGCGTCACCGCGTCGCCAACCGCCACTATGGAGTACCCGCCGTCCCCAACGATGTCGCTCCAGCCTTCCGCCGCTTCGTGTTCGCCAAATTGTAACCTAGTTGTGGCCTGGGTCCTCGACCGGTTTGTCACCACCGCGGAGACGACCACGAGGCGCCTCCTACACCTTAATGGGGAGCTCACCATAATCGGCGAAGAATGTCGCTTAGCGACACCTTTGCTAATGCCGTCAGGGGCATGCTCGCTTAGCATCCTAGTTTTTTTTAGTTTTCAGTTTCAACGTGTTTGCTGAAATGCGTCCGGTTTTTTTTGAAGGTAATTCATCCGATTTATTTAAAGGCATCCACTAAGCATCAGCCAACGAGCCCAAATTTGGGCCTGTCACATGGCAACCGTTAGATGTGGACTCCCCCAGCCGTTCTATGGCCTTCTCTGAATCATTTTCTACCTCCAATAGTCAACGCCCCCACGAAAAAAACCCCCATGCCTTCTCCCCTACCATTACGTGCGAGCTCTTCCGACAAGGGGTGGCAGCAGCCCCTCTCCATCGAGTCGCTGCTGGCCGCAGCACCGGCGTCGTACCGCCCCCTGCTAGCCTCTGTGAACCTTGAGGTCACCGCACCGACTCCGACAACTCCGCTCGTAGCACTATCATGGCAAGACGTTGCGGCTCACCGCTCCATGGTTGCAGCGGCAAGGTGAGCCGCGTCGCCCCCTCGTAGTCAACACCCGGCTCACCGTTGGTTGTAGCAAAAATGCAATGCCGGGTTGTGCATTCTACTTCCCCCGTCGGTGGTTGCAACTTTCCGCGGTGATAGTTGCAACTCTTGGCGTCGCGATTGCAGCTCCGCGCAGTGGTGGTTGCAACTTTCGGTGTCGATCGTCGCCATGCCGGCCTCGAAGAGCTCTAGCAGCGGTGACACACCAGTTGTAGCAGGGGCCTACGCCGGCTGTAGGATCAGGCGAGCTGATTGTAGCATCGCAAGCTGGTGGTAGCAGGGATTGTGCTGCTCGGGAATGGTTGCGCCACCCCTTCGTTGCTTCGTTGGCGGGGACTCACAGAGGCCATCGCTGGGATCAGAGAAGATTGAAGACGGCCATGGCAGCGGGAAGAGATGGGGGTGCGAATTCAGAGAGAGGGATGGGAGAGCCGCTCACGTGCTATGATGGAGGAAGAGGTTGGGCGTGGAGCAGGGCAACAAAAACTGACGAGTCATGACGTTGTTGTGGCTAGTGCAGGCTTGGGAGGAAGAGAAAAAAGATGTAGCGATACGAAGTGACAAGGTGGGCCCGCGGCTAGCGAATGGTGCGACCGGTCGACCGGTAGCAAACGTTTCTCTTATTTAAATTAGTGATGAAATGTATGCGGACACAGATAGATAACTGGCTTCTGTATCGATGTCCGTGGACTGATCCATTGATCCACGGACGGATATGATGTACGGTTTGAGAGTCGGCGTGGGAGTGTAACAAAAACAGATGTGCTAGGACCAAATCTCGACACCATGACCCAAACGAGATAATCAATGGAGAGCTGAACGCCGTCGCACGTACGCAACTCTGGTATGTATCCACCGCCACCGCCGACACTTAAACCCACCGTCGATCACGGCCTCACGACGATCTTTCTACAATCTCTGATGAGGCAGCTTTTTTGGTCATCCTGTAGCAGTTTTGTCATCTCAAGGGCCCAGCCGTGAACCCCTTTTCCTTTTTGCTAGGGACACCCAGCCTCTGCCCCCACAGAAAAAGCTGAAGACGATAGCTTTGTGTCCTTGTCCTCACAGTCACCTGACTCATCACCACCCCCTTCCTCCCTCCCTCCATACCATAGGATGCCTCCACAGTGTCACAGGTGACCCAGCAGCACAACAGTCCCTTCTCGGCAAGCGGCGGCAGAGCCACTGCCACTCACTCACTGGAACGAAGGTCAGTTCTCAGCTCAGCTCACCGCTACCATCCATCCCTTGTGTTCTTGCAATCTCTCTATCCATGCCGCCCTTGTCCTTTGGGTATGTGTTTCTCAATCCATGTTTGGTGGTTGGGAAAACGATGGGGATATCTATCTGGAGCGGAGCTAGCTAGGGGGTTATGGTGGTTTGGAGGTACCGGGGGGATCGATGGCGATGGGTTTGGCTCCGCTGCTTCACTGCACTTGCTAATTATAGCTAGTTGCTTGCACGCGCAGAGGTTTTCTAGCTGCTTGCTGCGCCGATTCCTCTCCTGCTTCGATTCTTGTGTGGGTATTTCTAGTGGGGTTTCACTGCTTGCTTGAGGCTTCTTCCCTTCTCTACTCTTTGTCTGGGGGCTCCTCGATTTGGTGTAGCCAATCTGCACAAGGAGGTGCACAAAGAGAGTGTCAGTTTGGTCCTGATTCCCAGTTTGCATAGCGGCTTCATTAATTGGTTATAAAAGGCTGAGTTGTGGTTGCCGAAAAGAGTACTTGCGTTAGGCGCCATCCTTATCAATGGATGCGCCTGCGTTGTGTAGTACCAGTAATTCTGTCGAGACAGAGGAGAAGCACTCCTCAGTGCCACTAGTGATGTTGTTGGGACAGAGGAGAGGCACTTCTCTTTCTCTGTATGCTATTCTTGCAATACTTTTACCAATTTTGACTTCCGGGACGGCGTAATTGGCTTACTTAATTAGATAGATGTTCTATGTACCTATCAGTGTTAAATGGCTTCACTGGTGGGTTGCTCTCACAGTTGTGGATCGGTGCAATGCTAGTGGACGGCCACCCACTTGGTTTCTGGAAGAAGGTAGCATCTGGTGGCTAATTTTGTATTATCTGTCTTTTGGAAGGAAATATAGTACATTTGGCTAACGATATAGCCTTTTGGAGCAAGTGGTGGGTGCACTGGGGATAGAACTGAGCAAACACCTCAATATACCCTGTGGTTGCTTTTTTAGTTATGTGTCGCTATCTGCATCAAAAGTGAAGGACATTGCAGCTGGCACAAGTAGAAATTGTTAATCCTGCCCAGTGGATTAGGTAACCGGAACTGCAGATTTGTAGAAACGAAATGATACTGAGATGTTTACTTGATTTGTCGAAAGGATTGCAAAGTTGAATTGATACACATTTCTGATTCTTTTACCCAAATAGCACCTATACTGTATGAATTGATATAAATATGCACCACTAATGTTGCATTTACTTCTAATTTCCGGGGAATCTTGTGTATCGTTGATTACTGGTAAAAAGTGAGAGCATCTATTTATGGACCATAAAACATGGCTTTGGAGAAAGAAGGCATCAGAAAGGACAGTTTTAGTAAAGAATAAACCAAATATATCAGATAAGGAACAGGAGGTATATCATCTACAGCTCTACACATTAAGAATTTTTAAGTTTATTCAGTACTTGCTAATTAACTCATAAATGCTCAAGGAGAAGATTGCACGGCTAGAGAGATCACTGCAAGGCTTAAATGAACAACTTTCATTTGCTCATGCTGAATGCTTCGAGAAGGATGCTATTTTATCCAAGCAAGCAAAAGTAGCTGAAGAAGCCATACTAGGTACCACTCCATTCATCACTCTCATTTCAGTACAAGTTCCTGGTCATAAGTAGTTGGACATATGATTTATCTCATCCTAGAAGTATAAATGCCACATGCACGTATGCATATATGTCGGCTATTTATTTTCTGACCAACCCCTTTTTGACTACGAATGATCCAGGCTGGGAGAAAGCAGAGGCTGAAGCTATAGCTATCAAGACAGAACTTGATGATACTCTACATCAGAAAGCCATGGTTGAGCAAAGGATTTGTCAGCTTGATGAGGCTCTAAATGTTGCAGCGGAAGAGAGGGAGTTGTTGATAAAGGATACTGCTCAAATAATTTCTTGTGAGAAGGATAAAGTTTGGAATCTAGAACAAAATGTCGCGGAGAAAGAGAACATAATTGCTAGCTTGGACGATGAGTACAGCAGACTATCTGAAATCCTCTCAGCAAAAGAGAAAATCATCTTAGATCTAACTGAATCAAATGCAGTGAAAGAGTCGGACTTGAAGGACCTTGCAGTAAAACTAGAGTCAACAGAGAGATCAAATTCTTCTCTTAGATATGAGGTTTGCATGCTGCAGAAGCAACTTGATATTCGTAGTGAGGAAAGGAAGTGTAACCTCAAATCTGCTGATGCTTCACACAAACAACATCTTGAAAATGTAAGGAAGATTACTAAGCTAGAAGAAGAATGCAAGAGATTGCGCTCAATGGTACGTAAAAGGCTACCAGGACCAGCTGCCATTGCTAGAATGAGAAGTGAAGTTGAAACACTGAGCAGCAGTACAACACACATAAGGACGGGAAAGTTGAATTCTTCGCCATCCTTCAATTCATATGATCAGACACAGAACACTTCCAATGCATCACATGTAAGTCCTTCATTGCTTGCAAGGCTACACGTGACGGAAGATGAAAATAAGGCCATGCAGGAATCTCTTTCTAGAAAGGATGGTGAACTTCAGCATTCCCGTACCATGCTTGCTCGCACAACCTCTAAACTTTCCCAAGTTGAAGCTCAACTCGAAGACTTATCAGGTGATCGAGCTACCACAGAACTGGCAAAAAGGAGTCCTACAGTGGTTGAAAATCCTCTTTCATCTATCTCCGAGGGTGGTCGCAATGAAGATAATGTCAGCTGTTCTGGTTCATGGGCATCAGCCTTGATTTCTGAACTTGAACATTTCAAGAAGGGGAAGCTGACTACACCTTCTTGTAAGAGCACAAGAATGTCAGACTTAAGTTTCATGGATGACTTTGAAGAAATAGAAAGGCTAGCGATGGTATGTGATGATAAGCCTTCAAAATCATATGATGTAAAGAGAGAGGCAGCAGAATCAGCAGGTAAAGAGCTGGTTCCAGTTGATGGTCTCAGTGAAACAGCTAATCAAGTTCACCCGCACAAGACTGAGAAGGGACTCCTGAAGTTAATTGAACTTGTCGAGGGAGTTATCCAGAGATCGTCAAAAGATTACAGTAGCAACCTTGTGCAATCTGGTGGCAACATGGGTGATCAATCTACGCTGATAACTGGTTATTTCGCTCATGCATTCTTATGGAAAACATCAGAACTCACATGTGTACTGCGACACTTCATTGTTGTATGCAATGAGCTTCTGTATGGGAATACTGATGTCGAAAGATTTGTTCTTGAAGTGAGCCTCACACTAGATTGGATACTGAACCACTGCTTTTCACTGCAAGATGTATCAGAGATGAGGGAAACTATCATAAAGCATTTGCATTTAGATAGCACTGATGTGCATGAAGCTGTTGCAGCCAAACAAATAGGAGTCCAAGCCACAAATGGCATAGATGAACCCGGCACTCCAAACAGCGTGCAGATGTCACTAGTTTCTCAATCAAGCCCCATGGATATTGGACTTAAAGCTGATAATGACACAGACAGTATAAGGAATGGAGTCTCATTCTTCCATGCACCGGAAGTAAAATCTTCAAGTTTGCGAGCAGAACTTAATGCATTGAAAGAAACAGGAAATCTGGTAACACATGGTGTTGATGGTAAATCAACAGTGAGTGAACTTGACAAACACAAATCCATCGCTAACTCTGAGGTAAACAAGGGCAATCTACAGGGAAGCAGTCACTCTACTGAAGAAGACCCAAAATGTGTTTCTGGGAATAAAGATAAAAATCTACAAGCGGTAAGATCCACGCTATATTATTTGTTGAATTCTGTGGTTTTAAAGATAGCTTAGCTCTTTTTTTAGGAGAAAGAAAATACATATTTATTTACAGCCTTATGCAAGAAATTTGCTCCATATTGATGGTGTCCTTTCTCTAATATGTATACAATTTTTCCTTTTGTGAAGCTATATAGCATTCATTCTATTCTTGTAGCAACCAGAATTGCATGCAACCTCAAATGCAATAGTTTTTTAAATAGGAAATAAGGAAATTTGAAATGACACTCTTGCTTCATTTTTGCTCTGTTCTGATAACGTAACATAACATATCACCATTTTATGCCCACTTTGTATATTACAAATTTGTGATCCTATATGACGGTAAATGACCAATCCTAACTGCCTTTGCTGTGAAACCACTGGAAATAATTGAACATGTTTTCAGATCGATTCAATCAATTTACTAGTTTCTTGAGTACACCCTGCTTTGAAGGGCTCTTTAGTCCATGAGTTATTACCTTCATTTGGCAGTTTACCAGTAAATAAGTTTTTGAAGTTAACATTTAATCCCCTTGTTCACACAGCAGCTGGAGATCTCGACAGCATCAGAGAAGCTCATTGAGTGTCAGGAGACAATCCTAAACCTGGGAAAGCAACTGAAAGCACTTGCATCGCCAAAGGATGCCACCTCGGTTCGTCCAGAGCGAAAACCTCGGTCCAAGTCACTGAATGAGATGCTAGCCGTCGACGACGGGGGATTTGATGACCTCAGCTCCCCGAAGACCAAGGAGATTATATGCTCAGAAATAAGGCCACCACATGAAAGAAAATTTTCGGCCGACGGGGGAGGTGACGATTCAGAATCGTGTTATTCTCACCCAACACCGGTGGCTCCACCCGCCAAGCCTTCCGTTGTGAGCGGAAGCTGCAAGAAAGAAGCCGCCGCCAAGGCCGTATCACTAGCCGTTGTCCCAAGCAAGCAGAAGGGGAACCCCAACTTGCTCAAGAGGATCCTGACAGGAAGGAGGAGGGATGCCATAATCAAACCAAAGGTGGTCCTGAGTGCTTAGCTGACAGAGACCAAGGGTAACTCTATCCATGATAAATTCCATTTCCATGTGTAAATTAAGCGTGTATCAGTTACCTGTTGAGCTGTGTTTCTTGTCAGGTTTAGGAAGAACCATGGAGTGTGGATGCCGTGTATGTATTACAAGTATTAGTGTGCTTTGTAGCGTTGTGGCCAGCATTACCCTGTTCCTTAGGTGTATGAACTTGTGTTTGCTCTTGGATGTGGCTAATTTGTGAGTAGCATGCTATTATGTGCATCCTTTTGAGGAAGGATTCTTGGTCTGAATGTCCTGACACCGACAAGGCTGATGTCTCCCGTGTGAATTTGTTCCTGAATCTGGCTAGGGGGCTAGATTGATCCCTGTGTTCTGAATGTCTTGACACTAACAAGGTTGCTGTCTCCTGTGTGATTTTGTTCCTGAAACTGGCCAGATCTCATGTAGTAGTACATATACTCGGTGTATCAGGGCAGGAATTATGGGTTTCAGACTTAACATGGTACTGTAGTAGGTGTGAGCAGCATCGCAAAAGTGGAATCAAATGGACGCAGCATGCCAAGTGAAATTAGTATGTTCAGTCCAACGGGAGTGTGAGAATGCAGACTGACCTCCTTCCGCACAAACTCGGATTCACCGGACCGGTGCGCGCCGCCGCGATTGCTTACACGGGAGCCCTTCCGCGAGGAGTGGCCGAGATGGAGCCAGCCGCTGACACGGCCAAGCGCTCCGGCGCGGCGAGTTCAGCTTCAGTCATCGTCGACGGCCGCTCGCGCGTGGCTTCGACGACGAGCGTCGGAGCGTGTCCGGCCGGGGTGGCGAGAGAGGACGGGCGAGAACGGGGGGGAAACCGTTACGGTGGGAAGGGGAGAGTGGAGGCCGGGTGAGGCGTGCGCTGAGGGCCGTGGAACTCCGGCGACGACGGCGG